CTTTGCACTGGCTGCTCCAGCCCCTGGAACGCTCTTCTTCCGGCTGTGTTTACGTTCTGCTTATCTGACCGGTTCGTCTTTCCCTCTACCCCTTCCCCTCCCCTTTCCTGGGACGCACCCACGTCGACGTTCCATGGTGCTGTTTGTTTCCTGGCTCATTTCTGCCTCTTGTGCTCAAACGTCAGCTGTTGCTGACTTGCTCACTGTTGCAGCCCGGTGTCTGCACACGCGGGTGCTCAGCTGGCGTTTGCTGAGCGGACGACTCAGCATAGTAGTTCAGTTTGTATGGTCGGCACCTCCACCCCCTTTTATTTTTTTTAGTTTTTTAATTTTTTTTTAATATTTTTTATTCATTTCTAGGAGAGAGAGAGAGAGAGACAGCGTGAGCAGGGGAGGGTCAGAGAGAGAGGGAGTCACAGACTGAAACAGGCTCCAGGCTCTGAGCTGGCAGTCAGCACAGAGCCCGACGCGGCGCTCGAACCCACGAACCGCGAGATCATGACCTAAGTGAAAGTCGGCCGCTTAACCGACTAAGCCACCCAGGCGCCCCCTCCACCCCCTTTTAAAGATGAGCCGGCCCGTGCCACCGCGGGAGAACTAGGGAGGGTTCGGCGGGGCTCGAGTGTAGGGGCGTGAGGCAAGGAGACGGGATCTTGGAAGCCTGCTAAGGGGACAGGTGCCCAGAAGGCCCAAGACCCGCCGGGGAGCCAGTGAGACACAGCAGGCGAGAGATGAAGGGGGCCTGGCAGGGGAGCAGTAAGGGCCATGGACAGACGCCAATGGGCTGCGGCGTCACCTGAGGCCTCCCTAGAGCGCCCTGAGCCTGAGTGCTGATTCGTGGAGCCGCTGCTGTGTTACCTTGTGAGACACTTGACCTCTCTGAACTCACGGGGATGAAGGTAACAGCTGCGCCATGTGATACCATTGGCGGATCCTGTCTCTGTACTCAGAGCTCCGGAAAGGTCCACGCTCGTCGGCTGAACCATAGGAAATGGCCCTGTTGCGGGGATCCAGAAAGTCAGGCATTGGCAGTTTCCTGTGGGTCATCCTAACAGTGTTAACGGCTCGAGATAGTAGCTATAGTTCAAAGTCACACACACGCACTTTCTCACAAAATGCTTCCAGGGTACTAGGAGCCAAGTAACACATGAAAGTGCTCAGCAAAGTTCCAGCGTGCTGCAAGTGTTGCTTACAAACATAAATATGGGATCCACTTTGAAAATAAAGCCCACGGCTCAGTCCCTAAAGGCACAAGGGATGGGAGTTTGGCTTCCCGGGGCGCCTGGTGGCTCAGCTGGTGAAGCATCCAGCTATTGGTTTCTGCCAAGATCATGATCCCAGGGTCATGGGACTGAGCCCAGTGCCAGGCTCTATGCTGAGCATTCTCTCTCTTTCTCCCTCCTTCTCTCTCTCTCTCTCTCTCTCTCTCCCTCTTCCCCACTCACATGCTCTCCCTTTCTCAAAAAAAAACAAAGCCCTCAAAGGAGGACCATACCTTTTCAGGCACAGTTATTAAGCTCCCCCAGGTACCCTGAATATTACAGGCCTTTTGGGATAGACTCACAGCAACCAAATTCACAGGAGACTGAAGTATAAGCTTCCCCGTTTGCTTATCCATTTGAAGGGACAAATGTGATTCTTGGCCAGATCGGGACCCTTGACTTTGCTCCTGACGGCGTGAAGCTGGGTTGCAAAGACATCTGGACAGTCAAATGCGACTTGGAAGGGTGAGGTGGACACAGGGGTCAGAGAAACAGCACCCGGGGGACGGAAGCGCCCAGAGGAGTCGGATGACTAATCTGACTCACAACAGAACGCACCTGAAAGCAGGGCCCAAGACGTAGCAACTCTCGCTTGACGGTGTTGGCCACGTGTACCTTCCTGTCGGGGTGCCCGGGGGCTCGGTCAGTTAAGCATCCGACTTCGGCTCAGGTCATGATCTCACGGTTCGTGGGTTCGAGCCTCATGTCGGGCTCTGTGCTGACAGCTCAGAGCCTGGAGCCTGTTTCAGATTCTGTGTCTCCCTCTCTCTCTCTGCCCCTCCCCTGCTCACCCTCTCTCTCTCTCTTGAGAGTCTCTCAAAAATAAATAAGTAAACAATAAAAACTGTTTAAATGTACCCCAAACACTGTGGGAGAGACGACTGTAACTGAGGTGGGGTCCCATGTTTTTATCGTGGTACTTGGAATCTCGGAAGGGACCGGAATGAAGGGAGACGGAAACCGAAGCACCTGGGCCTGAGGCTCCCAGGCTCCACACCGCCTCCTTCCCTCCAGCCCCACCGCCCTCTTCTGTACTTAGCATGAAATGAACATGCCAAAGCCATGACCGTCAAGCTGTGGATTTTCCTCCAAACCTTCTTTTGACACTGGGAGCCCTTGTCGGAACCGGTACGGGATGGGGGCTCCGCTGGGCAGTGAAGGAGATGGGGGGAGGGGGAGTCAGAGCTTCCCCCCGTGGCTCCCCTCGGCCTCCCAGGGCCGCGCTGGGGTCCTCTGGGCGCCGGGACGGGAGTCCAGACCAGGGTGTGGCAAGGAGCCCGCTGCTGTGCAGAACCTGCCCCAGGCCCCTCCCGGGTCCAGCACCCGCGGGCAGCCTGTCCTGGGAAGCCGGCTGCTCTCATTCAGTGGGAACAAGCTGACTGCTGTGTGGCCTGAACATCCTGAGCCAGGGGCCAAGGGGAAGCGGCGTCGGGCCCCAGTGTGTCCGCGGGGCAGAGGGCTCGCTCGGCTGCAGCTCGGGAAGGGAGAGGGGGAGACGGGGAGCGTGTCTATTTTGGCACCAGCCAGCCTCAGAAAAGCCACAGAGAACATTTCACCACAAACGAGCAAGACCCATGAGCAAATGGCCTATTTTGCTTCCTCCCTCAGACTTAAAATCTGGCTCAGGAAGGGACTCATAGAGCAGAGGTGAGATGTGGGGCTCAGCACAGGATTCTGGGGTCTCCATTCTTCTGCCTCCTTCCAGCCAGGGGCCTATTGTGGGCCGTGTGTTGTGAGGTGCTGGAGATCGTGATGAGCAAAAGGGATCATGGCCCCTGTCCTTTCAGAGCTTGTGGGCCAGGGAACAGGGGATTATATCTTGTCTCCAGGGTGGGCATCAAGCCACAGCTCCAAGTTCAACGAAGGAGAGGTGTGGGGTGCCGCTGGCAATTAAAATGGAAGGGACAGGCATAGTCAGTGGGCTCAGGGAAGAGTGGGCATTGTAAGCAGAGGAAACAGCATGTGCAAAGGCCCTGAGGCAAGAGGAAGCCATGAGTCTGGTCATAGAGGGCCAGGAACTGTTTTTGAATTTTCCCTAGGACATCACAGAGAATGGACTGGAAAGCACCAGAGGCGCACGGGGAGCTCAGACAAAGGATGATGTCAACACCATCCCTCGCTCAGCCAGCCCTTTGCAGCCCACTAGGTCCTCTACCAGATTCTATTTTCATTCCCAAACCCACAAGAGCCCAAACTCCACTCATCGCAGGAGCAGAGTGAGGATCAGAGAGGGTCCCAGTGCTGGTTTGTGTAGAAGCCGGGACTCAACCCAGGGCAGACTGATGTTGGCATCCCCGCCTCCCCTTTCCATGGGTCCAAGGGACAGAGGAGGGCTTTCTGGGCCCCTATGAGCCACATTCCCAGATCACACGCAGCCACGTCACGTCTGGGGTGCCTACGTGTCAAGCCTTTCAAAGCACTCAGGGGGCAGGGACTAGCCGGCCTGCTCTCTCCACAAATCCCACACCCAGGGTTACCGGTGACTCGCCGGGCGGCCACATAGGCCTGGTGTCTCTGTGTCCCCCACCAGCTACAGGCCAGAGCTGCCACCCGTCAAGTTGGTTTGTGGGACCCACCTCTGACTCCCATCGCCATGTTCCTGGGCTTATCCCGCACTTCGTGGTCCCCTGTGTCCTCACCGTGGGGGAAGTTCACTGTCTCACACCTGGATGTGGCCACATCACGACTGCCACGGCGAACATTCCCAAGCCAGCCGGTGTGGCCCTCACCAGGGCCGCGGCCTTGAGCCAGCGGAGTGCTCTTCTCTGGGCCCCAGCACCTGCCCCTGTTAAGTGGGATGGGCTCAGAGCTGCCCCCAGGGCTGCTGCAGACTGATGCTCCGGCCCTTGCCGCACGCCTGGCCGCCGGAGGAGGCTCGGAGCTAACGAGGGCGGAGCACCGCTCACCATGCCAGGCACCGGGCAGTGCCCCGTCCACACCAGCATGGGCTGTTCCTACTACCGTGTCCCCGTGATCCGTCATCGTTATGCTGCAGCGCTGCGTTCAGCGTTTCCCACGTGGCCTCTCCGTTCTTCCAACAGCCTGTGGCATCTCTCCCCAGAACTCCGGAGGCCAGAGAGGTTGACGCGCTCAGAGCCACGCAGTGAGTCGAGGAGCCAGGATTTGAAGCTGGGGCCACGTGATCTACATTCCGGGGCTCGCAGCCAGGACATCCAGCTGGCCCTCACTGATGCGGCCCACCCCAAGTGCCCCACCCCAGCCCTGGGGTGTTTGGGGGTGCGGTGGGGGGCGCATTGTGTTAACAGACAAGGTGAGGGGGAGGCCTGCTCCTGAATTCACTCTCAGCTCTCCACCGTGGCCCACAGCGCACCCTGCGTGTCTCTCCTTGTGTGAATGAATGACCTTGTGCAAGGAGATGCCCAGAAAATGGGAGCAAAATGTGGATGCCTAGGCCCAGCCCCATACCCGGAATCTGACCCTGACCCCGGATCTCTGAGTGGCTGATACCTCCCCTAGGGAGGTAGTGATTTAGGAAAGGAAATTCAAGACATTCTGTTAAACTTGAACTTCAGATGAACAATAAGTAACTCTTTAGCATAAGTACATCCCAAATATTTCATGGGTTATACTTATGTTAAGAGAGTATTTGTTGTTTATCTGAAGTTCAGATTTAACCGGGCACCCTGCACGCATCCCGGCAACCCTCTCCCCTGGCGACACAGGTGCCTGAGCAACAATAGCCACAACGACTCATGTCCAGGAACCCACCCTGGGTGAGGCCGAATGCCGCCCCCAGCTGTGTGCAGTCGCTGGCACAAGTTCATGGCTCCTGCTCGACTGACACAAGTGAGGTCTCTGAAAATGCACATTCGGCTGCACCAGCTCCATCCGGGGTCACTACCAGCTGGCACAGACCGGGAGACTGTGCTCCAAGAGGGCAAGCCCGTGGGGGTCCCTCCAGGGAGGCCCAGGGGCCAGCGGGACCCCCGCGCGGAGCTGAGGCCCAAGGCAGGCCTTCCCGGTAGTCAGGGCCATCTGGGCTCCGGCTCCGGCACCTGGCGTCCTCAGAGCGGGAAACGGCGCGCCCCCCCCCCCACCACCCACCCAGAGATGGTTTCCCGCCCGCCTGCATTGGCCAGATGGCCCTGCAGAGCAGGGAGGGGGCTGCCGGGGGGCCGGCGAGGGGCCGGGGGTGTCGCGCTGGAGCCAGCCCAGATGCCTTCGCAGCCTTGGAAGGCCCTGTTTCTGGGAAGGGAGAACCCCGCGCATGCACAACACACCCTATAGCCCTCCGGCTGTTTCATCTCAAAGAAACCCAAGGTTTAGAAAGAATCTAATTAAGCATCTCCTGCACAGTCTTACACGCACGGAATGGAATTGCTCATGAAACTTGGCTCATCGCCGACTGTGCGCTGAGGGGCCTGTGGCTCTGCTGGGAACTGGGGTGGGGGTGAGGGGCTCTGGCCAAGGGGCTTCTTTGGACGATGCTAGAACTCATGAGCCAGCTCTGTCCCCTTCAGTCGAGCATCCACCCCAATCCGTCCCCAAAACTCACAGGTGAGTAGGGACTTGTAGGAGTTGACTCTCTTTGCCAGGTCCTCAGAGCCAGCCAGCGCTGGACTCAAATCCTCTTGACTTAAATTATGAGCTTGGGCAAGTCATTTTCTTTTTCTGAAACCTTCATAAAATCTGTAAAATGGAGCCAATCATTGTTTTGTTCTAGGATTGTTGTACGAATACATGAAATACCCCTCGTGTCGTCGGTACCCCGTGAATCGTAGATGCTATTCCGATCAGTTTTCATTTCCTTTCCGTTTTGGTTTCCCTCCGTAAGAAGCCCCACGAGATGGAGCCTTTATTTCGTCCACTGCTGGACTGCTAGCCCCTGGCCTCTGGAACAGCTGTGGGCTCACGGTAGCTTTTCAGTAGATGCATGTGAGAAAGAATGAATGTCTCAGGGCCTGGGAGAAGCTGCCATTTCACTTCAAGGAACTGAATGGCATCCTTGAAGGAGAATGGGGTTGAAGCGGGATGAGAGTCTGCACGGGTCCACCAAGTGCTTTCTAAAGTGTTTTCAATGTGGGATTGTCGTCCCCACTTTCAGATAAGGAAACTGCAGCTCAGAAGGCAGAAATGAATTCCCCAGGCTGCTAAGAAAATGGAAATACAAACGTGGGCACCAGTCACCAGGGTCCCCAAAGATTCCGCCTCCTGCAATCCATTCACGCCCTTACACCGTCTACTCCTATGCCAAGCAGAGCGGACCGCTGTAAACCTCTGTAGCATTTTGGGGAAATGGCCATGTGTGACCTCTGGGGCCGTCACAGAAGACATTCTGCCTCCCAACTTGCCTCCTCTTAGATCGTTCCTCGGGGGGACCCCTGGAGCTGTGTTGTGAGGACACTCGAGCAGCTCTAAGATCTCCAGCCCCAGTCAAGCCTTCGGATGAGGGAGCCCTAGCCGACATCTCACCTGATACCACATGAGGGATTCCCACCAGAACCCCCCAGCTGGGCTGCTTCTGAATTCATGACCCACAGAAACTATATGAGATCATAAATGTTGATCATCTTCATCACTAAGTTCAGGGCTAATTTGTCATGTGGCTATAGATGACTAACACCGCAAACCACAAAGTGGGGGGACATGTTTGCCAAGCACACATCTGGGAACATGTGCCCAAAACACATGAAGAACTCTTACATCACAATAATCGAAAAAACAAACGAGTCAAGAAAATGAGCAAAAGATTTGAAGTGGCACCTCACAGAAGAAATACGAATGGCCAACAAACGCATGAAAAGATGCTTAACGTCATTAGTCATTTGAGAAACCCAGATTAAAATCGCACTGAGCTACACCGACACACCCGTTAGGATAGAAAACATTTTAAAATCTGACAATACCACATGCCGACAAGGATACAGATTAGCCAGAACACGTCTTTTCGCAGGTGGGAATGCAAAATGGTGCAGCCACTTTGGACAACAGTTTGGCAGTTTCTTAGGAAGTTAAACATATATTAATCGTATGACTCAATGATCACGGGCACTTACCCAAGAAAAACGGAAAATCGTGCTCACACACACAGAGTGGACATGAGTGTTTATAGCAGCTTTATTTGCAGTTGCCAAATCTGGAAACAATCCGCATGTCCCCTTAAAACTTGTGGTATATCCCTACAGTGAAACACTACTCGTCAATAAAGAGGACCAAATCCCTGAAAAACACAAGTCATGGTGAAGATCAGATACATTCTGCTAAGTGAAAGAAGCCAAACTCAAAAGGCTATGGTGTGATTCCATTCATACGATATGCTGACAAAGCAAAACTACATGGACAAGAACTGGGCTCCTGGGCTGGGGGCTAAGGTGAGAGCTTGACTGTGCAAAGGGACAGGAGGGGACTGTGTGGGGTTGCAAAGCTGTTCTACACCCTGTTTGTAGCAGTGGTTACGCCCTTGTATGTGTTTGTCAAAATCCATGGAAGGGTGAACTTTAAGTAAATCATGCCTCACTAAACTTGACCTTAAAAGGGATCCCCCGAGTAGGAAGCAGAGAAAGATCTCTCTGATGATGACTCTAACATCCAGAAGTCATAGAAGAAAAACTAAGTTCAGCCACATAATCAAAACTGCTGTGTGATACAGTAAAACCAACTGGAGAATCCAACCTAAAGAGCCCGTAGAGGCAACATCAAGAGGCAAAGTGATAAACTGCTAAGGACGTTTAAAGTTTACACTGCAGACAAGGACTTAATATCCCTAAAATATAAAGTGGATTTCAACAAATAAGAAAAAAACACACAATAAAAATAGATAAAGGATATGAATGGATCATTTGTCAAAAGGTAGTATTGATTGGTTTTAAATATATGAAAAAGATGTATAATCTTATTCATAATGTAAGGAACGCAGAATAAAACTGTACTGAATTGCCCATGTTTACCCGTCAAATGGACAAAAAACCAGAAATCTGATAATTCACTATGTTGGTTAAACTTTGGAAAAACAGGCACACAAGCATTGCTGGTGGGGCTATAACTCAGCCTGACCCCTAATGGAATGGAATGGGGCAACATCTATGACAAATTCGTAATACACTTTGGAAATAGCAATTCCAACTTTAATATTTTTTTATGTTTATTTATTATTGAGACAGAGAGAAACAGAGCATGAATGGGGGAGGGACAGTGAGAGGGGGAGCAGGCTCCAGGCTCTGAGCTGTCTGCACAGCTGAACCCACAAACTGTGAGATCATGACCTGAGCCGAAGTCAGATGCTTAATCGACTGAGCCACCCAGGTGGCCCAGCAATTCCAACTTTAAAATGTTATTCTACAGAAGTACTTGCGTGTATGAAAATTGGTGTATGTGCATAGTCATTGGCTAAATTATTTTGGATAGCATAAAACTGGCAACAACCCAATAAAATACTATGCAGCTATGAGAGAGAGAGAGAGAGAGAGAGAGAGAGAGAGAAGGAACTCACCCCTGTCTGCTCAGTGACTTTTTAGTAGCTCTTTACCCACCTCCCTTTGGAGATCTCAAAAGTTGTTCTTTGGCATTTTGGGGACCTCTCAAGAATCACATCCAAGTACTAATGCCCAGAAGCAGAGGTTTTTTGTTTGTTTGTTTTTAATTTTTTTTTTTAATGTTTTTATTTTTAGGAGAGAGAGAGAGACAGCATGAGCAGGGGAGGGTCAGAGAGAGAGGGAGTCACAGAATGAAACAGGCTCCAGGCTCTGAGATGGCAGTCAGCACAGAGCCCGACGCGGGGCCCGAACCCACGAACCGTGAGATCATGACCTAAGCGAAAGTCAGACACTTAACCGACTAAGCCACCCAGGCGCCCCCAGAAGCAGAGGTTTTTAAACTTGACCTACAGATCAGTCTTCAACAACGACAACAATGACAAAAGACCTGTTTTGCCTACTACAATCTGTGACATATGTAAATTTGTAAAATATGACAATTAGATAAAAAGTCACTGACTACTCCCCTCTCTGTTTTAAAATCTACAGGAATGAAGAAAAAAAGACACCCCCTCCCATTTGGCAAGGGTGCCAACATGACCCAGTGGGGAAAGAAGAGTCTTTCACAACTGGCCCTGAAACAACTGGCTAGCCACACGCAAAAGACTCGCATCGGATCCCGACCTCCCGCTATATATAAAAATTAGTTCAAAGTGGATCAAAGATCCAAACACAAGAGCAAAACCATAAAACTCTTAGAAGAACACAGAGGGACAAATCCTCATGACCTAGGCTCGGCAAAGGACCCTTAGATACAACACTAAATGTATGATAACGAAAGCAAACGGAGTTAAATTGGACTTCTCAAAACTAAAAAGTTTTTGTGCCTCAAAGGACGCCGTCAAAAAGGCGATAAGACTTCACACGGAATGGGAGAAGCTATTTGCAAATCATATAGCTGATAAGGGACTTGTATCCAGAATATGTAAAGAATGCTCACCACTCAACAATAAACGGACAAATAACCTGATTTTTAAAATGAGCAAACGATAGGAAAAGACACTTTTGCAGGGCAGGTATGCAGAGCGGCCAGGAAGCACGTAAAAAGGTGCTCAGCCGCATCGGTCATGAAGCAAATGCACAGCAAAACTGCGATGAGGAGCCACGTCCTGCCCACCGGGATGGCTAGAATCCACAAGTCCAGTAATAAGTGTGGGCAAGCGTGTGGACACAGGGCAGCCGCGCACACGTGGCTGGAGGGATAGGAAATGGTCAGGCTGCTCTGGAAAACACTGTAGCCATTTCTCACGGGATTAAACATCGGGGCTTGTCACCTGACCCGGAAGTCCAGTCCTAGGTGTCAGGGAGACACACAAACAAATGTCACCTGTACGCAAGTGTCGTTAGCAGCATTATGCATGGTGGCCAGAAACAATCCAGGTTCCCATCAAGTGAATGGTAGATACACAGAGTGTGGTTTGTGCAGACGACGGCGTATTAGTTATTCAGCCATGAAAGGGGATGAAGGAAGGGCCAGTGAGCATCCATCTCCGTAACAGATAGGAGTTGTCACAAGAGATAAACGGCGGGTGACTCCACGCCTCTGAAAGTCAAGGGCAGGGAAGTCTAGGAAGACAAAAAGTGGATTCGTGGTTATGTAGGGCTGGGCTGGGAGTCAGAGGGTAAGGCTGCCACAGCCAAAGGTTATGGGGTTTCTTTCCCGAGATGATGAAAATGCTGGTGGGTTTTGTTTTTTTTTTTTTAATGTTCTAAAATGACCCTGAAGTACTGTTTACACATAGCTGTGCGTATATGAAAGACCATTGGGTCACACACTTAAAATGGGTGGATTGTGTGGCATATGAATTCTATCTCAATAAAGTGCCTTTTAAAAAGAGGAGAAAGAGGGGCGCCTGGGGGCTTCAGTCAGTTAAGCGTCCGACTTCGGCTCAGGTCACGATCTCACGGTTCATGGGTTTGAGCCCCATGTCGGGCTCTGTGCTGACAGCTCAGAGCTTGGAGCCTGCCTCCGATTCTGTATCTCCCTCTCTCTTTGACCCTCCCCTGCTCACACTGTCTCTCTCTCCCTCTCTCAGAAATAAATAAAACATTAAAATATTTTTAAAAAATAAAAAATAAAAAAATAAAAAGAGGAAAAAGGTGGGATGCCTAGGGGACTCAGTCGGTTAAGCATCCGACTCTTGATTTCGACTCAGGTCATGAACTCACAGTTCATGGGTTTGAGCCCCACGGCGGGCTCTGTGCTGACAGTGTGGAGCCTGCTTGGGACTCTCTCTCTCTCCCTAGCTTTCTGCCCCTCCCCCACTCCTGCACGCTGTCCTCTCTCTCTCTCTCTAAATACATAAATAATAAACATTTTTAAAAAATAAAATAAAAAAGGGGGAAAAAGGGAAAGAAGAAGAAACCTCCAGGCCCTGCTGGGTGGAAGAGTGGAACCCATGAGCAGAAGCCCAGGAAAAGCTCTGCATTCAGGGGAAGGTCCCACCACTGGCTACAAATGCATCTTAATGGTAAGATTTTCAAGATGTTCCCTTCCCATATCCCCCTGGGGAACATGTGCCCAGAAACCAGAAATTCCCCTTTAAGGGTGAATCGTGGACCACATTTGAACTCTGTAACAACCCCTAGGTATGGCCCCAGAGGTGTGATTTGAGAGAATGTAAGAAGACTCCAACCTTCTGCACCCAGCGATGCCCCTCCCTGCTGGGCAGGTTTCTGGCCCGCCTCCTCCAGAGAGCTGTTTTAAGTGCAATTATCCAGGGAGGACATAAGGCACCAGGCTCTTTGGGGAAGAATTAGGTAATTGGATCATTTTTTCTCCTTGACAAGGAAGAGCTGGGGACAGCTGGGGGACCTGGAGGCTCTTTGAGGGGGAAATGAAATCTTAATTACAACTCAGGTCCTGCTAATGGCTGAAAGGAAGAACAGATCACCTAAAGCGGGGTGCTCAAAGGGTGGTCGCGGCAGCAGCAACCTCACGTGGAAACTCATTAGCAATGCAGATTCTCAGGCCTTACCCAGACCTGCTGGCTCAGGGACTCGGAGTGGGACCCAGCAACCTGTGTTTTAAAAAGCCCTCCAGGTGATTTTACTGTGAGCTCCTGTTGGAGCACCCCCAAACTAATGAGTGATTTCATTCATTCAACAAATATCTACTGAATGCTCCCAGATATACTTGGAATTGCTAGAGGTTCAGGGGTTCAATAACCAGGGAACAAGATGTAATGGGTTGAAGGGTGGTCACCCAAAGGACATGTCTCCCCAGACTGTGATGGTGACCTCATTTAGAAAAAGGGTCTTTACAGACACAAGTAAGTTAAGGATCTTAAGATGAGATCGTTCTGGATTACCTCGATGGGCCCTAAACCCAATGACAAGGTTCCTTAAAAGAGAGGAGAGAGAAACAGAAGAGGAGAGAAACAGACAAGTCCAAGCCAAGACAGAGGAACAGACTGGGATGAAGTAGCCACAAGCCAAGAGGCTGAACCGCCAGAGCTGGGAGAGGGGAGGGGGGTTCTGTCCTGTGGCCTCAGGAGGCACCTCTGCCCCCCGACAATAAGCGGATAAATATCTGTTATTTTAAACCACCTAGTTTGTGTTAATTTGTTACAGCAACCCCAGGAAACAAATCTAAAGACAAATAAGGGTCATGACTTAAAAAATCTTATATTCTAGTGGAGATAGATGAGATGATAGAGAGAGAGAAAGAGAAAGAGGGGCAGATATGGATGGATGGATGGATGGATGGATGGATGGATGGATGAAGGATGGATGGATGGATGAACGGATGGATGGATGGATAGGTGGATGGATGGATGGATGGACAGACTTACAGGTGGATGGACGAATGGACAGATAGGTAGGTAGGTTGATAGGCCATATAAATAAGTGACAAAGATAATCTCGCAAGGCGAAAGCACTATCCTGACAATAAAACAGAGTGATGTTCTAGAGAGAAATGGAAAAGGGATCACCAAGTTGAGACCTTGAGGAAGTGGCTCCAGGAGCAGGAGCTTACGAGGCCTGGGGGGCACAGAGAAGCCTGGTGCAGAAGGGCGGCTGGAGGGTAAGAGTGAGTGAGTCGACGGGAGTGGGGAAAGGGGTGAGACCGGGGAGAAGCAAGGGCCGTGGGAGCAGTCTGGACTCTGCACCAAGGACAGTGGGAGCCCTTGGAAGGCTGGGAGCAGGGAGCTCGTGGGACAGGACTCGGCCTGCGGAGCAGGGGTGAGCCAGGAGGCCTCTGCAGGTGTGTGGGCGAGAGGGTCCCGTGGACTCCCGCGGACCCTCGTGTAGCCTAATCTCAGCAGTGGTCTCCCATCACCTCCGCCTCATTCTGTCTGTTACGAGGAGGTCACTGGGCCCCACCCACACTCCCGGGGAGGGGACTGCACAAGGGTGTGAATACCGGGTTCACTGAGAGCCTTTGCAGATGCTGCCCACCGCACCGGAGGGAAATGACAAGTTCCATTTAGGACACATTAGGTTCTAGCTGCTCACTTAAGGTTGTAGCATGGCTGATGGTAAAGAGGCAGTTGAAAGATGAATGAATGAATGAATGAATGAATGATGAGTAGATAGACTGACAGACGATGGACGACCCATTGCTGAAGGCTGGTTGGTCGCGCCAAAATCACTTGAAGGACTCCTGTCCCCAGCCCCCAAGGACAAGCTCTTTCAGAAACTGTGGCCTTGTTCTATCATGGACCCTCCCTGCCCTCCCTCTTCCCCCCACCCCTGCACGGAGCCAGCTCTCGGGAAGATGAGCTCAGCGGTAGGTTTCTGCCCGGCCAAATGGAAACACGGGCTTCCATCCTGCTCCAGAAACATCAGCGTGCTGGGGTCTGCAGAGGGAACCGCTGGCCGCCTTGGAAGAGCTGCTGATAGATCCCGGAACTTCACGGGCCAAGCCATCATCTTCAGGCCAACGAGCTTGAATTATGACAGGGAATTAGGAGCGCTGGAAACTTGGAGGCCGCCCACGAGGACGTTTGCACGTTTCTATCTCCAGCCTCGTTTTCCAGCTGCGCGGTACACTTAATCCAACACCGAGTCTTGCATATTACATTTTCTCCGCGATTATAGCCCTTCTTCTTGAACCGTCTTTGGCACCCAGTGGGTACTTTCTTTGATTCCTCTTGCTGTGTGGATGTGCATGCTTTGAGCTGAGCCTTTTGTATCTTGCACTCGGTTTTCTCTCAGGAGTCGGTGCTGGGAAGCGGGCTGGAGCGGGGGCCCGGGCCTGAAGCGCGCGCGGTGCCTGTCAGCGAGGCCGGCTCCCGGAGATGCGTCCCAGAGAGCAGGCAGGCCACAGATAATTGGTATGGTCAGGGGAAGACAGAGGCTTTTCCAGATTAACTGAGTGGCTGGGGGTAAAGATTCTGAGCTTCAAAAGAAGCTTCCCGAACTTAAGGCTATTAAGTTATTACGGCTGATTCCACGCAGAGGGGCCTCAGCCGAAGGGCATCTAACTGCCAGACCTCCTGTGATTTTATGGGAATGGGGCTGGGATGGGGGAGGCTGAGATCACTGAGAAAAGCAGCCCCACCCGCACAGGCCAGATGAACGGGGCTTTGAATTTTCATCCTGGCAGCTCAGCTGCGATCCCAATGGCCCCTGAGTCCTCACAGGTGCCCCTTCACAGGGCGGGGGGAGGTCAAGATGAAGGTCGGGGTGGGAGGGTGTTGCTGAGGCCCAGGAGGCTCCGCTGGCCTTAGCAGCCCCCTTTACCCCTCAGTCCTTCCTCCACCAGGAAATACGTGCTGAGCCCTGGTGATAGAAAGGGAGCCAGCAGCTGGCGTGACAGAGTAGGGCTGTGGTCAGAGGAGGTACTCAGGGAAGGGCAGAACAGTACAACTGGGGCCCCAGAATCTCCCAGGGGAAGGAGCTCTGGAGCCTCATTTGCATCACAAGCCCAAGGTGCTTACTCAGATTGTAGGTTTAACTGGGGCGCCTTGGGGGGTCTTATCTTAGGGCTTGGCTGCTACAACAGAAGAACCTGAAAGAGCCGTGGAGTCAACACGGACATCGTTCCTCTCCCCGGGAAAGGTCTAGGGTCACAGTCCAGGGCTTGTAGGGCAGCTCCGCAGTTGTCAGAATCAGGTCTCTCCTACCTCATTTCTCTGCATCTCACACACACAAGATACAAAATGGCTGCTCCGGTTCCTGCCATTCATTCTACATTCCAGCAAGTGTTGAAGGAACAAAAGGGCAAGGAGTGGGCCGCCCCTTCCCTTTAAGAGCGCCTTTTTGGAACCGGCTTGCCCACTTCACATCACCACGGCCAAAATCCATCACGTGGCCACATGTGGCTGCAGGGAAGTTTGGGAAATGTGGTCTTTATTCTGGGTGATCATGCACCCGGCCATATTCCGCTAACGCAGAAGAGGGAAGGTCAGCGGTGGCTCTGCAGAGGAGTGTGATGGAGGCAGGGTGAGACCAGAGCCTCCACCCCCACCTCCCTTGGGCACACATGTCCCTCGAGCTACAGGAATGGCTCTTTCAGCATTCGTGACAGCATGCAAAATCCACTTCCTCCAGGCAGACCTCCGGGATTAATAACTCCACCTGCTGGCCAATGGTTCAACCTCGACTCCACTCCACCCTTCCTTTTAGGGGCAGGGGGGTCCCTGGCTATTTAGTACCTGAGCATTTCTATGCAGTCTGCCCTTCCATCCTCAGGAGGCTGTTTCCTGAGTCAAGGATCCAATTTCTTCTTCAGGGTGCAGATGATACGGATGAGAGAGGAACTGGTTCCCAGAGGCCGCTGAACGGAGCCAGCCCGGCCGCCCTGCAATGGGTCTATTTCAGACACGGACATTAGGTCTTCCGGCACCTTCCCTGCTGCCCAGTGGGTTGCGTGCCCCCCACATTAGCG